AAAAAAAGAAAGAAACAAAACCTCTGTATGTTCTTTAAATAAGAGAAAACTCTAGAATAAAGCCAACTTATTTTTCACATCTGTTTCTGAAGCTGTGATGGAAAAGCAATATCCACCCCCACTGTGAAAGGGGTTCCATAGCCCCGCTCTCAGGAGAGATGAACAGAGAAGCAACTTCTATATGATACATGGTACTGGAACAGGGAGGCGGGGGAGGGGAACTGTGATGAATGGGCTTTATATCTATTTTGCAATCTAAATTCGTAGATTGACTTTGACTATTTCCTCTTTCTTGTTTGTTTTTGGAGCACATCCTGTAGTGCTCAGGACTTACTCCTGGCTCTGCACTCAGGAATCACTCCTGTTCATGCTCGGAGAACCACATGGGGGTGCGGGAATCAAACTTAGGTCAGGCAAGTATTTTGCCTGCTGTATTATCTCTCCAGCTCTTATATCATCATTTTAAAAAACCCCACGTTTTCCCCCTTTATTTAAACATTGTGTTTTACAAAGTTGTTCATGACACACTTGTTACAGGCATTCAATATTTCAACACTAATCCCACCACCAGTGTGACCTTCCTTCCACCATTATGCCCATTTTCCCAAACATCCTCCAAGCCTGCTCCCTTTACAGGCACAAAATTTTGTATTTCTTGTTACAAATGGCTAATGGGGTTATAAAAAACTACCTCAGTAAAAGAAAATTGTGAAAATTGGTATATCTTACCAGGGAGTCATAAAGTCCTTGTCTGAACATTTACCAAGCTGTTTGTTGATAATTGAGGTTTCTCTGCTAATGTCTTTGTTTACCGAACTTAGTTGACTTCTGTGTTACTTTACAATCTAATTTGGCGTGCTCCTACTAGGATGTCAGTATTGTAGAGTTTGGCCATGTTGTGCGGCCATGAATGTGGTCACATGCTCCAGAAACTCCAAAATTTTACTGGACTGGGGATTTCATGGTGCTGCTTGTGGGATGTGGATGTGACTTCCAGGACTTCTGAAATTTTGTGGGAGAGGGTTCTCGCCTGCTCACATTCTGAGAAAACCCCAGAGTTTTCAGCCCAAAGATGGGTGTACCTGAAATTTTTGGCAGTTTGGCACCTTTGCAGAGCTTAGTCATGAGGCAGTGGAGTTGGGCCTTGGTAATGGCAGCAGGTGTGGGGTGTGAGTGTGGCTGATGGGACTCTGGCAGGGTGGGACTCAGCCCCCCTGCCTCCTTTTTAAAAGTTTTAATTTGGAAGTGATACAAACCCTCAATGAAAAACTTAGCCTGGGATACTTGCCTCTGTCTGGAGAGGCACCAGGAGGCTTTCTATTCACAATCAAAGGGATAAGACCAGGAGTCTTCTGGGTCTATTGTAGCTTTGGAAGTCTGTGGCATTAGGCTACTTCTCTTCTCATTGGAGTTTTGTTCCTCTGTTCTAACTTTCAAGCTTAAATCTGGGTATATGTTCCCGTGAAATTCCTATGTTGAGGTTCAAATCTCTAGGATCTCAAAATGTGACTTTATTTGAAGATAGAGCCTTGGCAGGGGGTGGGCCTAAACCAATAGGGCTGGTGTCCTTACAAATGGGAGTTTTGGACACACAGATGTGAAGAGGCAACCCTTGAAAGAAGATGGCCAACTCCAAGCCATGGAGAAGACTCAGGAGAAAGTGCCCACAGCCATCACCACATCTCAGACATCTTGTCTCCAGACTTATGGGAAAATATATGTCTGTTGTTAGGTCACTTAGTTTGTGGGACAAAGTAATACAGTGGATTACATCACAATGGATTTTCTTATCTGGGAAAGAGGTTGAGTGTTTTCCCAAACAGACTTAACATTGGGCTTTGCCTCAGTGAGGCTTTCCTTTAACAGGATAATAAAAATGCTTTTAGGAAAAAAATTCCTTTTTTTGGTCATCAAAGAAGTCAGTTTAAGAAAAGTAACCTTTTTTATTTCTACTGAAGGGTATTTTGTAACTTTTGACCCAAGGACTATTTTTCTGAATTATTATGAATCCTCATTCTGCCTTTGAAGAAATTTTGCCATCATCTATATAATTCATTTCTAGTGAAGTAGCTAATTGTATAATGCTCCAAACAGTTGTGTATCTAGTTAAAAACTTCAGAGGAGATAAGAAAGTCCCAAAAGGGCAGACTTTCTCCATAATTCCATCCTTTAAAGTTCACACAGAGTCAAAGATACATGACTAGGTTGTAGAAGAACCAATAGAGTGATCAAGAAGGGTAGAATCTTAGAGTCCTATATTCTTCGTTAGACTTTGGATTTACATTTTATTTTTCCTGTTTGCTGTGCTGGGAATAGAATTCAGGTCTCACTCTTGCAAAGCAGATACTTTTTCACTGAGCCACTAAGACTCCCAGATTTTTTTTCTTTTTGGGTCACACCTGGCAATGCACAGGGGTTACTCTTGGCTCTGCACTCAAGAATTACTCCTGGCAGTGCTCAGGGGACCATATGGGATGCTGGGAATTGAACCCGGGTTGGCCATGTGCAAGGCAAAACGCCCTACCTCCTGTGTTATTGCTCCAGCCCCAGATTCCCAGATTCTTACCTGAAGTGCCATATGCTGCTGCCACTGCAGATTTTTCTTCATTTCAGTAATGGGAACTGTATTCTCTTCTTTGACACATGGAGCTGAACCAGAGTCCCCACAGTTAGAAAACAGGGGCCCTTTCTTTCTGAGTTGCCTTTGATAGTCCAGTTATGTTTCTCACAAAGAACATTTCTAGATCAAAGCTGTGCAGGTGGGAGGTGAGAATGGTCCCTACTTGTCTGAGAGTGTAAGAGGACATACTAAGCAATGTGGCACGCATGGCTTTTCCTTTCTCGCTGCACATGTAGCTTAAACACCTGCCACCATAAGATGATGGTGAGGCAGAGCCCTATGACCTGGAACCAATTAGGGGAAATAACCAAGGCAGCTGTTTGGTGTTTATTACACAATCAGATGAATGAATTCAAGCTCATTTGCTTAGCAGCCTAACTGCTGTCATCTAATTACAAGAATGAGAATTTATTATAGTTTTGAAAAAAAAATATATCTTTCCAAAAATCAGATATTGGCCAATTAAGAAGATGGATGGAGCTGAAGGCACTTCTATTTCCAGTTATCAACAGAATGGGAAAAAATAGTCAACTTATTTATATTCATTTATTTATATGGATGAATAAGTTAAGGAACACTTAATCTCAAACACAGATTGCTTTTATTTTAGCTAAATTTCAGTTCCATATATATTTGAATTTCCATCAATGTCAAATACATTTTTTTCTTTCTTCTTAAAAAAAAAGATTTACAAGCACTTTACGGCACTCAAGGAACATAGGCTGAAGATTCATAATAATAATTTTCCCTTAAAAAAATCCATCAGACCAAAATAAAATCATTTTAATTAACTCCTTCCTGAGTAACTAAAACCTTGGAATGTGCTGAAAGGTTATAATAAATAAGGCAGTCAAAGATCAACCAGCTTAAAATGTATTTTTTAAATTAAACTATGTAACATGTACAATATATTTCATGAAGTTCAAACTGTGTTGGGCTCAGGGCCAAAGAAAGGTTGTCACGTGTGTCAAATAAATGGATGAAGGGCCTTGAGTCTAAGGACTTAAGAGACTGTTTGTTGGAACAAAAGGACATTGAGAAGCCCCCAGAAGATCAGTCAGGATCGTTAGTTTTGATGTTCCACTGAGCTTTGCTGAAAAGAAACCTTTGAACACACAGGCAGAAGTGCTCATAGGCGCTCACTCCAAGGGGTTGTGTCTTTTTAATGACTAATTGTCCCGAGGTCCTGACAACAGCAGAGAACACCAAGCCAACCCAGCTCTATTTTCAGAGAGTGAGACTGCAGTGTGTAAACTATGATCATTCCTTCAATGCAATTTCATAGAAATGACTCCCCAACTCCTGGCTGGTGGTTCTTATTCCTATCTGGAATGGGACCTCTGTATCCTGGGTTGCTTTCTGAAGTATGCGTATGGTAGGGCCCTGGTCTCTCTAAATAGGACAAAGGCAAGTTCCCCTTCTGAGGAAACTCCCTTCCCCCAGGCACTTTCCTGCCCTAGTTCTCAGAGGCAGAGAGGGGCCCTCGTTGTGGCCAGATGTGGGCCTGTGTCTGTGGTCCAGCCTTTACTGGTCTCCTGTGGGCTGCAGCCTTCTCTGTACAGTCTGTGATAAAGGAGCTTTAGGGCACACTCGACAGGTTCCAAATGACTCTCTTTCTAATCTTGGCTACCCTCCAATTTTAGTGACTGAAGAAAAAAATTTGAGAGAGACTTGTTGATTTCTGAAAGGTAGAAAATAAGTAGGTTGTGTAAAGTTGGCATTTCATTTCTAATGAAGTATTCCCAGCTCACACTTAGTGCTCTGGGAGGGGTCAGGGCTAGGGGGGCGGTGGAAACTGGGAGGAGAAAATGTGTCCTAGGTCTCCTGCCCACCTGCTTCTTAGCACACTGTGTATTACCTAATCCAGAAGTCTATGGGCTCTCAGTAGTGAAAGAAGAAAGCATTTCAGAATGAAAGAGAGAGGCGTCTGAGAACTTGGCTGAGGCATTATGGGTAGGAGACGCGGTGGGAGGTGGGAAGGAGAGAGGGTTCAGAGCAACTGAACTTTTAGCATCTACTCAGATCCTTCGGGAAGCAGGTGCTATACCTAAACCTGGTCAAGATGCTCTTGCTTCTCCTGATATCCGCCTAATCAGAGTTCTTAGAGTTAACAGCTTCTGTACTAAATGGGAATACAGTTACACTTCCTGTTGCGTAGAAAACTTGGTGTTCCTTTTTTACCCAAAATACTACCTCAAAGGGACTAGAAGAAAGAACCAGGTCCCATATGTTGGTCAGGGCGGTGTCTCCTAGAACATGCCTCATTTGTGGTCAGGCTTAAGGCATTTGCCATAACAATCAAGCACGTGTCCAATGAAGTCGATGCAAGGGATATGGGCATTTTGTACTTGGTGCAAAGGACAGTGTCCAATCCTTTTCACATGACCTCCAGCGTTTGTTTAGCCTCCAGCCTTTCCCTAGAAAGCAAAGAAATGCTTTCCCCATATGTGCAACGTTTTATCTCAACGGTGCTTGAACCCAGAATGCCTCAAAGGAGCCTGACTTGCATTCTGACCTGGAAAGGTGCTCAAAGCTCTGGGTTTCTGGGAGGTTTGGCACCAGCTCACCTAGGCTCTGAGACCGTCAGTACCCGCTGTAGTACACTGTCCCCTGAGGTAGCCCAGAGGCACAGATGACTTCTCTGGGAATGAGGATTTTCCCTGGTGATGTTCTAAGCTGATCTTCCTTCCTCTCTTAGACCCCTATAGAGGAGATTTTTCTGCAGGGCTTCTGCGTTTCTGCTGAAACAGGCAAGCCTGGCTGTTTCCTACCACTGAAGAAATCATTTCAGAAGCCATTTAACAAAAGATAAGTTACTGGGCTACTGGCTGGATTGCCACTTGTAACTATTTTTTTTTTTTTAAAAAAAAGCTTTTTGATGATGAGAGGCCATGTGAGAGAACCATCTAGGGTACATGGGGAAAACCCAAGGAGCCAGGGAAACAGAAACACACACACACACACACACACACACACACACACACAGCGCGTGCATACGAACACAGAATAAAATTAAACAAATAGGACCCGCAAAACCGGGCATCTCCCAATGACCCCAACATGTGGGAATGTTTGGTTCTTTTTAATGCGGTGGAGCATTAATTCAGTCCTTAAGGTGTTGTCTTCCCCAAACAAAAACCTTTCTGGAAAAGGGAGAGAAAGCCATCGGAGGCAGTTTGGTGCCGGCATCACCTCTTATAAATATCTTCCAGCCACTTCTCGTCGTCTTGTTCCTCTTCGTCTATTGGCTCCTCGGTTTCCAGAGGGGCTGGAATAAAGAACTGGGGCCGCAGAGGGGGCTTGCTGACGCGCGACTTCAGTCCGAACTTGCGCTTGAGCAGGTGGAACTGCTCTTTGACGTAGTGGTAGAACTCGTACTCGTACCGCATCCGCTGGTAGAGAATCTGCACGGCCTCGGGAGAGGGCACGGTCTTCTTCACGGTCACAGTCATGTTCCCCAGCTTCCTGTGCTCTGTAAGGGAACAGGGACACACATGAGCCATCCTGCGGGCTGCCTCTGCTTCCACGGACAGGGGAAACTCTGGATGGCCGGCCACAGAGTGGCTGCTCTAAGAGGCAGAATCTCAATATCCCAGGAACACAAGGGGAAACTGGTTTCCAGCAATGGTGTCGTGGTGCAAGGTCACACCATATTCTAGGGATTGAAATCAACATTGGATGGCTAGACATGATTGGTCCAACTTTCTCTTCGTGGGATGTGAGCTATGCAGCCTAAGTACAATCTCACTGTTTAAGTGAGCGAGACCGTCTTCTGAACAGCAAAATCTGCCAACTGGGGCCAGAATGTTAGTACTGTGGCTTAGGCTCTTGCCTTGCACTCAGTAGACTCTAGCTTGTTCCCTGTCACTGCATATGGTCCGACCAACAAAATCAGGAGTGATCCTTGAGCATAGGTGAGTAGTAAGCCCTGAGCACTACCAGGTATGGGCCCAAATCCTGTGCCTACAATCAACCAACTTTTTTCATTATTTACATCCCCTTATGCACATCAAGAGCTTTACTTTCAGAAGGAGAAACAAACAAACAAAAAAGCTGTCTCACCAACTTCTAAATATACCATTTTCCTAGTTTAAAACATTGTTATTTATCATTATTCATAGTTTAGTTTGATACCAAATCATTTGCATTTCACTATTTCAACAAAGCAACTATCAAGAAAAGTAAAGGGATGACTGTCATATTCCTGAAATAGAATTTCAGGAGCTGTTGTATATTTTGAGTGGTTATTTGTTTCATTGTGGTAAAACCAAGAACTAAAATATGCTTGCTTTTGTATTTTATGTTGATGCTTAATAAAGTGTAACATATAACATACCTAATGCCTCCTATAAAATATACATGACATAACTTTAGCTATTTTAAAATATACATTTTGGGGGCATAAATTACACATATTGTTCTGCACCAATCAGAAGCATTTCCAGAAAGGAATTCTTTTACCATTCCAAGCTGAAACTCTAAACAATAATTATTAATACCCCTTCGCTAATCACTCCTTTCCAGGCCATCTCTCCTCTTACTTTCTATGCATGTTTTATTTCAGGTGTCTCATATAAGTGGAATCATGCAATCTTTGTTTTATTGTATTGTGTTTTTTAAGAGAAATTAGCATGATGTTTTCAAGCTTCATTCCTATTGTCCTTCCTTTTGTGCACTGTATGGATATAACACAACTGATTTTAGTCATTAATTCATTGAGGAATACAGTATGAGTTGTTTCTACCTTTTGGTTATCACGAAGAGTATGCTATTAACATTTCTGCCCATGTACTTAAGTTCCTGTTTCTAATTATTTTGGGAATTTACTTAGGAATGCGTGTTAACTCATGTGGTAATTCCACGTTTAGCTTTCTGAAGAACCATTGAATGTGAAGAATTTTATCAGTATATACCTGTTATAATTAGGTGAGTAGTAAAAGAAAATTCAACAAGGATAGAATGAATCTAGGAAAGAAAAGAAAAAAAGTTGGTATGGAAGTCATTTCTCCTCCTCCCAGAGAATGAATACTTGTAGAGCAGTGCGGCTAGGGTCTTGTTCCCGCTTTTCTATCAGGAAAGTAGCCTGAATTTCCCGGGCATTTGGGAGAGAGGTGGAGTTGATTCCGATACTCTGGGAAGAGTATGTCTGCCTACAGAGGCTTCTAATTCTTCTGCAGAGGGGACAGAGGGCTTCTAGCTCTGCATGGACTTCCTGGAAACCTCTGTCTAACTCCACATGGAATGGTAATTTCTCTTCACTCCTAAGACATATTCTCTCACCGTGCTTTCATTGCTAATAAAGTTGACACTTGTATCTCCATCTGCCTGTCTTTGGTGTCTATTAATCAATAAGGTTAGAACCCAGGTAAGAGAAAATGTGAGCTAATTATTTCCTCAAACCCAAGTGGTGAGTAACGTGAAACACACACAGGGAAGTCCTAACTACTGAAGCAGGAAGCAGGTCGAGAGTTTGGTTCTAAGTTTTCCAGCAGCTGAAAAAGAGTTAAATTAATTGTAGACAGTTCTCCATTTTAAAAAGTATTCACAACTATTCCAAGTTGTAAAACCACAGATTCTATGAATTTTCTTGAGACAAATACTGCAACGAGACTGATAACATTTCAGTAAAAAATCCTTAAGAGTAAATTCTGCGGATGACAGGGGGATAAGCCGCATTCCAGATACTCAACTCTCTACTGGTCTGACTTCATCAGGTAATTATCAATGACAGTACTCATCAGGGAAATACTTAATAGGGGTTCTGCAGAGAAGCCAGAGGAGGGAATCTCAATACTCTTAAAACCCTGAGTATAGCTCATGCTCAGGATGATGGAGACGGTATTTGTATTTTTGAAAGCCCATATCTTATTATTGTTTTTATGAATCTTTTAAGAAGCTTCCGTTTTGAGAGTCACTAACTCATTTCCTTTATAAACCTTTTCTATGTCTGCTTTATTCTCATGTGAATCACGATGTGTACTTGAGAAATAATGGAGTCAGCTGTTTTACATGCAGATCAGGTGTACAGTCTTAAACCTTGCAATAGCTTAGATATAACATAAAAGTTATATCTTATGAAAGGCGAGGGGTTTACTAGTTCCTGGCATAGCTGTATGTGGCCTACCCCACATGTGGATAGCTCATTTTAGTGGAAAATACAAGAGGTATAAAGAACCCAGATCTTTGTAAAGAAATAATTTATGACCTGTAGGGTCTCCAAGTTCTTTGTCTTAACATTCAAGAAGAACCATCTTGTAAAACAAACAAACAAACAAAAACCCATAAACAAACCACGTGAGTACAATCAGTGACAACAGAGCCATCCTAGAAAAGACCCCATTGAATTTTTAATGTAGAACAAGCCAAATTCTAAAAAAAATTAAATTAAAATGTAAAAGGAAAAAAACAAGGCAAATTCTTAGATAAATTCTTAAATAAATTACAATGTTGGTATACAAAATGGATTAAGATGACTTGCTATAAAGGTTTTTAATATCATCAATAAAATTTCATGAAGATGAAAATAAAAAGTTGTATGGTGGATTTATATATGTTCCTCTTTGATTGTGAGATTACTGGGCCAGCTGCCACGAAGTTGCATCTAGTTTAAACAATCAACTCTCTTCCCTCTATGGTCTTCTCTATGTCTGGATGGCAGAGTGACGGTAGAGCAGGTTACCCGCTCTGCCTTAAGTGATAGCGGGTCATGAAAGCATAAGTGAAAAGAACGAGGATAGATGCATATTATTCGTTAACTGATTTGTTAAGAGATAGGGACAGTTCCCATTGAACCTGATTATTTGTGGTGGGGATGGCTATGATATACCAGCACTAAAATAAGCACTAGTAGCATTCTTGTATTTAATCCTCACAATAACTGCTTTGTGGGAGAATTGCATTATAGATACAGACGTTGAGGTTGGGCAAGACTCTGAGATGGTCAGATCAGCAGCTGGGAAGTCGCAGAGCTAGAAAGGTCCAAAGGATAATCGACCGCAGTGCCTTTGCTCTGTTGTTTCAGCTGCAGAAAGGTCGGGAACCTTTTCATTGTGCTTTGCCCATTTCTCAGCCGGGACACTGAGATAAAGGTGGCCAAAACCTAGGCCAAAGGGTCTCCTACTCGTGTTGACCAGAAAGTCCAGACTAGGAAAAGATCTTCTGGGGAATAATAAGGCATTTAAAAGGAAATGGTGAATTGTTTATAATTCAAAGGAAGAAAAAGATTGATTAAAAAGAAAATGGACCAGGTCCTGTATAGTTCCAATCAGAAAAATCAATACCCACAGTCCTTGAAAACTCACACAATCATCACCATCTGGAGAGTTTCGCAGACTGGGTGCTTTATTTAACTTGATTTAAATGTGTGTTTCTAGTTAGCAACAGTAAACAGAAATTCGACCAAAAAAAATTCAGTTTGAAATTGAGAGATTATTTGCGACCGGACAGGCTGATGGTGGTCAGGGGGAGGGAAACTGGGGACACTGGTGGTGGGAAATTACACTGGTGGAGGGACGGGTGCTGGAACACTGTATGACTGAAATCCGACCATGAGAAGCTTTGTAACTCTCTATCTCACAATGATTCAATAATTAAAAAAAATATGTAAAAAAATCCCCAATACTTGCTCCAAACATCCTCTCTCTCACTATATCTACCTTTTCCCCCCTTCATGTGTATACCTCTCCTTCAAAAGTGGGATTTCCTACCCAAATCCAAATGTGTCCAAGTCTCTGTTTTCTTAAGGAACACCTTTGTCTCTATGCACCTTGTCTTTTCTCTTCCTCCCTTCTCCATTCTAACCAAACTTCCAGAAGCGTAGTCCAATTGGTTATCACCAAATTTCCAATGTACACACTTGACCGAGTTAATTCATCACAACCCAGGCTTTGGACTCCTAAGACTATTACAACAACTCTTGCTTCCTTGTGGAGAACTCAATGGCATTCCTTTGGAATTTCCATGACTTGTTAACATGACCTGACAGAAATTCTAGCCACGTGCTCCCTCTCCTATCTCCATGACATCTCTAATCTTTCCCAAAGTGTCCTGGTCTTCTCAATGGTCCCTCCAATTCTCTATATATGGTCTTCCTTCCCTGTAGTACTTTTCAGCCTTCCCTTCTTACCCTACCTGCTCCTTTACTGCTCAGTGGGATTATCCATCCGTCCAGCTTTTCATTTTCAAACTATAGGGACACAAAACTGAAAGCTCACATAAAACAGTGACAGCTTTGGGGGGTACTTTCCTCATACAAGAAGAAATTTAGTAGGAAGGAAATTTTAGTAGGATGGTCTTTGTTGCTTAAAGGTTATGTCATGGTCAGAAATAGGAATTGTGTGTGTGTGTGTGTGTGTGTGTGTGTGTGTGTGTGTGTGTAAGAGGTGAAGCAGAGGTTTGATTCAACCAATATCGATGGAGATGGAGAATACTTATTGCTGCCTTGGTTTCTCCCCATCTGTATAATTTTATTTA